TGGAGGGGGAATCTGCCCCTTGCCTCTCTCTAAGCTTCTAGTGGTTGCCAGCAAGCCATGGCACCCTTGGCTTCTAGACACCTCACTCCAATCTCCGTCACCATCTCCTCATGGCATTCTTCTCTGCGTGTGTCTCCGTGTCTTCACGTGGCCTTCTTATAAGAACATCAGTCATTGGGCACCTGGGTGGCTCAGTTGGTTAAGCGACTGCCTTCGGCTCAGGTCATGATCCTGGAGTCCTGGGATCGAGTCCCGCATCGGGCTCCCAGCTCGGCGGGGAGCCTGCTTCTCCCTCTGACCCTATCCCCTCTCATGCTGTTTCTCTCTCTCTCTCTCTCAAATAAATAAATAAATAAAATCTTTAAAAAAAAAAAAAAAAGAACATCAGTCATTGACTTGAAAGTCCAGCCCAATCCACTGTGACCTCATCTTAACTCAAGTCATTATATCTGCAAAGAGCCTATTTCCAAATAAGGTCACCTTCTGAGTTTCCAAGTGTATATGAATCTGGAGGGACACTGTATTCAACCCAGTACAGGTGGAAAAATAGATATGGAAGTTTCTCTGTGATAAAATGTGGGAGCATTTCTCCAGAGGCTCCCAGATGAGCCGTTCAGTAGGTTCCAACTGGGAAGTTGAGAAGGGGAGTGGCTTATGAGTACAGTTATGTTTTGTTAGTGTAAATGTTTTTTGTTTTGTTTTGTTTGGGTTTTTTTGCTTTGGGGTTTTTAATATTTTATTTATTTATTTGACAGAGAGAGAGAGAACAAGCAGGGGGTGCTGCAGGCAGAGGGAGAGGGAAAAGCAGGCTCCCCACTGAGCAGAGAACCCAGGACCCTGGGATCACAACCTGAGCCAAAGGCAGACACTTAACCGACTGAGCCACCCAGGCACCCTGTCTGCAAATGGTTAGGTTAAGTAGAATTTTCACAATATAGAGGGCTGCACTTTGGTTCATTATTGTTGTCATTCTCACTTTTCTAGCATCTGTGGCATCTAGATCTCTGTCATTTCCACTCCATCCAGTCAAGAGCTTCAGTGGAAAAAAGCACTAGATTAGAATCCAAAGAACTTTGTTTCGAGTCTTATTTCCAGCATTTACCATCTGGCCTTAAGCACGTCACTTCCCTGAGCCTCAACGACCTCAACAGTAACATAATTAAACTCCCAATGACTTTTTTTTAATAAGTGTGTGACATTTTTACCTCCAAAGCTATTAAAACTTAAAACTACACTGAGACTTTTGGGATGCTGCATTTTATTGAGGAAGCAATACACTGTGTGATATCAGAAATAAATTCCTATCCAGAATAGTTAAAATACCCAAATATTTCGGTGTTTTATGGAATAAGCTATAGTTGCCTGGAAATGCGTTTACACATATTTATCTGCAATTATTTTTTTAAAGATTTATTTATTTATTTATTTATTTTTGAGAGAGAGAGAGAGAGAGATCACAGAGAGAGAGGGAGAAGCAAACCTGCCGCTGACTGGAGAGCCTGATGCGGGGCTCCACCCCACGACCCTGACATCATGACCTGAGCAGAAGGCAGACGCTTGACCGACTGAACCACACAGCTGCCCCTATCTGGCATTATTAAGTGATGTTCCAGGTCAGCAGACAAAATGGACTATCCTGTAAATAAATGTGTACACAACTGAGAACCCATGGAATCCCTATCTGATTGGCTTTCAAATGCCCCATGGCACATAGCATGGGGTATTCTATGTACAAACTTGATTTATATTTTAGGCAGTAGGAAAGAAAGACAGAAGGATGAGAAGAAGAAAGAGAATGAACTTGTTAGAATTCCCTCGCCTCTTTCCTCGCTCCTAAAATGGAGTTGATAATTCCTCTTTTCTTTTCTTTTCTTTAGGGTTCTCTAACATTGGTCATGTAGTGTCCTTTCAATATTGATCACATTACCAAGCTCCAAAGCACCTAGCACCCAGCCAGCACGTGGTAAGTGCACAATAGATATTTGTAAATGAACGAAGGAATAAGTATGTCCTGGTGACCTCAAGGAGTTTTTCTGAAATGTAACTTGATATCATTACCTATGTCACCCTCTCCTGATGACTAGAAATACCTGTCCCAGTTTGCTTTTTGCCAACTTTCTACTTTCATTAGCAGCCTCTGCCTTGGCCACTAGATGGCACAAGAGGAAAGTTCCTTAAAGATCAGAACAGATACTCCAAAGACGCTGGCTGCAGTGTGAATAAAGCCACCATCCCTGGGGTTAATTAAGCAAAACAGGGAGCCAGCATTTCACCCAGCACATTGGAAGGAAGCAAAACCTCCACAACTCTGGACTTGAAATGAACTTTAAGCACTGATAAATACAAAGACAAAGACAAAAACAAAAACAAAAAACAAAAAAAAAAGAACACCCAACTCTCTGCAGATAGTAGTAATAAGATACCGAACCAAAAACAATAGCCTTGAACCAAATATTCTGGGACACCACGGAGGGAATCAGCAGAACTGGGACAAGGCAAGAAGAGAGGAGGCCAGATTGAATCAACCACCATAGTTAAGGGTTATCATTGTTGCACAGAGAGATCTGGAGCGGATCTGAAAAACGCCATTCGATACAACCGTTGCCCCATGTTTCAGTGTAATTTAGCGTGGACCAAAACGTATGTCGTTCTCATTTCAGAGTCAATGTTAGGAAATCTTTGTGTCTTCTATTTAAAATCATCAAAGAACTCCCTAAATATTGCTATAGGAAAACTGTGCTGTACAGACATCTGCTTACTATAGAAGTCAAGCATCTAGAGTTCAGAGTGGACAGAAAAATGAATTCAGGAGTACACAATGCTACCTTTTAAAATCTGGCTGTGGTTGGGGATCACTGCATGTGACTTACAGGTGCACCGGACAGCTCCCCTTGCTGAGATTCTGTGCTCACCAAGAAACTTTCTGATTATAAATGGACTCTGTAGATCTGGGGAGAAAAAGCTATGGTGGTTCCAGCACAAGCCCTTCCATCCTTGTGACAGTTGTATTTTTTACTGTGCCTTAATAAATTGGTATTCTGTTTTATTTTTTTTACTTTTATTTTTTTTAAAGATTTTATTTATTTGACAGAGAGAGAGATAGCAAGAGCAGGAACACAAGCAAGGAGAGTGGGAGAGAGAGAAGCAGGCTTCCCGCTGAGCAGGGAGCCTGATGCGGGGGGCTCGATCCCAGAATCCTGGGATCATGACCTGAGCCGAAGGCAGATGCTTAACGACTGAGCCACCCAGGCGCCCCGGTATTCTGTTTTAAACAGCAGTCTCCTATGAGCTTGGTAAATGTAAATTGCCATGAGGAAAGGGACTTCCTCTTAACGAAAGAAATTCTCTGAGCCTGTGAGACTCACAACCTCACATGGTGTTAAAGTCTCTGTTGAAAATCTCCTGTAACATCTCTTGGCAGACAACCAAGGCTTGGGTGACCTTGCTTTCACACTCCTAGGGCCAAGATTCTCCATCCTGGTTGCATATCAAAATTATCGAAATTATGAAGATGTTTAACTGATGCAGAGTCCCAGACTCCAGCCCCAGAGATTCTAATTCAGTAGATCTGGGGCTGACCCAGGAATCCGTATTCCTAAGGAACCCAACTGATTCTAACCTATGGTGTTTGAGGACTATTCCTCAGCTTAAGTATAATTTCACAGGTTAGTCCACAACCACAGAATCATGGACTATTTTACTTTAAAAGGGTCTCCAGAGCAATAAGAACTCCTTTTTACAGCATCCCTGAACCCTCAGCTTTCCGTGGAAGCTGGGCATAAAGAGGCCAGACAGGAAGCTGCTAGGCCATTAAAACTTAACAACAGTGAGAAACCGCAGACCTCTGGGAGCTTTAGCCTTTAGCTAGGAGTATCAAAGTGTCCCATTAGCTCCTGGAGAAGTGGTCCTGACTGGCCAAAACTGTATATATGAGATCAAAGCCAGATACATAATTTATGAGCCCAATCCAAAATAAATGATAATAAAGAACTTCAAGATGGTGACAGCAGAGTATTAAACAGGTATGGGGCCCTTCTGAGCATGGGGTCCCATATGATGACACAGGATGCACACCCATGAGGTTGGCCCTATACAGGACTACTAGGGCAGGATGATGATTTATAAATCAAGAGAGATCTGCATTCTTATCTGATATTCCTTCCAATCTGCTTGCTTTTCTCCACATAGCAGCCAAGGCAATCTTTTTAAAATGCATCTCTGGTCCTGTCACTTCCCTGCATCCTCTTGCTCTAGGATCAAGTCTCAAGCCTGGCCCACAAGTCCCCTGCCACCTGACCCCTACCTACCTCTCTTCCCTTATGTTCCCCATTCTCTCTGGACTCTAGTCACGCTGCCCTTGTTTCAGTTCCTCCCATTTTCCATGCTTCTTCCTGCTCAGATCTTTCACAGTGCTGTTCTCTGTGGCTAGAAGAATCTCCCCTACCCATCCTAACCTAGCCAGAAAGTATTTTTGAATGAATGAGTGCAAAACAACAACAAATGAAGAATTAGTGAAAATGTCAGGTGCTGAATGTGGCCCTCTTATTAAAGAAACATGTCTATTCCAAACCCCACTGACCTGATCACACTCATCACTCCCTATATGGATACTTGGCATTTAAACCTCCTTACATAAAGGGTAACCATACTTCCCAATGTTTCCAGGACCATCCCATTTTTTAACAGGGTGCTTATTAACAACACTTACTTTTGCTCACCAAACCACCTGTTTAGGTGATGAATTAGATGGACACTCTGCTTATATACCACACTTTAATAACATTTGAACCATCTCTTTCCTTCTCTCTCTGCAGAGGTAAATTGACAAGAGATAGCTTCTGTGTTTTGGTGGCTGTGGTATTAACAGCAAGAGCTTAAGTTATTAAACCGAGCAGCTTTAATCTGTGAGGTCTCCTGGAGCAATGGGGATTATTGTATTTTTACTCCAGAGCCCGTGTAGCTATTCCAATGAGCTAGGGTTTGCTCTCTGCAATCCCCACACTGGCCCCGTTGCCTTTCTCTAGACCCACTTCCTAACCGTGAGAGATGTGATGGAGTTTTACTTGGAGATTGACCCTGTCACCTTGAACCTGATCATCCTAGTAGCCAGCTACGTTATCTTGCTCCTGGTGTTCCTCATCTCCTGCGTGCTGTATGACTGCCGAGGCAAGGACCCCAGTAAGGAGTATGCTCCCGAGACCACCCTTGATGCCCAGCCCTCCATCCGCTTGGTGGTGATGCAGCAGAGCACTTCAGGGGATCCCTGGGCAAGGAGGCCTAGCCTTCATTTTGGGGATCCTGCTCCATTAGGGAAGAAAAGCACAATGGTGTGAAGCTGGCTAAGGGTGACTGGGGAGAGAGCACTAGACATTCTGGACAAACTGTTCTCCATGTGGCTGCGATTCTCTCGGCGTACCACCAGTCCTACTTGGCTATGTAAGTGGGAGCTCTGCCTTACCTTCTACGTTCTCATCACCCTCTTTGTGAATGAAGCAACCGTTTAAGGTAAGAAGACCAAGGTGGCCTTTGGTCAAGTTCTCCGGATGCAAAATCTCATTAATACTATCGTATAGTGAAGTTGTTGGGCCCTTCCTGGTGATGTTGTCCTTGCCATTTCTAGGAGAGATTGGTATTTGAGTAAGGTGCAGGGGTAGAAAACTCTTTCCTTCTTCCCTTCTAGGTTCTTTGGCTGGTCCAATAATTACATTGACATAAAACAGATGAACGGGAGAAAAACAAATTTAATTTTTATCTATGGAAGCCCCATAAAAAATATGAGCTCAAAGAAGTGACCAGAACAGGCAGATTTTATCTCCTTTAGACAAAAAAAAAAAGAAAAAAGAAAAAAGAAGAAGAAGAAAAATTTGTGAAGAATTGACAAGGCAAAGAAGTTTGGGTTTGGGGTAGTAAATTAGTGAGGAAGTAACAAGGTTTGTTTATATAGCTTTCTTGGCCCTAAATTCCCTATTTCTGGTGCCAAGAACACCTGCACTCCTGTTACAGGTAGCTTTCATATGGGAGATTTATTTCCTGCTTTCAGGGGGGACAAAGGAGGGTCAGAGTGTTTCTTCTTGCACCAGCTCTTTTTCAAGTAACTTTAATTCAGAATAATTAGTGGGCCAAAATGTCATATTTTGGGGTAGCATCTTCAACTCCCCTTCAAAGGGTTTAAAAAACAAAAGACAGTTGTGTGTGTGTGTGTGTGTATTTATTTGTATGTCTGTATAAAGAGGAATGAGACTAGCTTGCATCTACCCTATACTTAGCAGATTCTCTCTCCGAGGCAACCATTGAACTTTTCCAGACTTGAGATTATTATTCTTTCTGTACACACCAGGTCCTCACATTCTATTCCCCTGTGGGTCAGTATGGGGAACACAGCAATCATAGAGCATAGTGGCTAACCCCAAAGCTTGGAGCCTGGGTTCAAACCCTCTCTCCTCCACTCACTAGGTGTGTGACCAGAGCCATCACTTTGCGCCCCAACGCTAGTGGCAGGACCTATAGGCTGTATGGGATATTCAAATGAGTAATTTCACTGAAAGCACTCAAGACAGTGCTTGGCACCTAGGGTTAGCTAATTTTTTTTTTTTTTAAGATTTTATTTATTTATTTGACAGAGAGAGAGAGAGAACAAGTAGGCAGAGAGGCAGGCAAAGGGAGAGGGAGAAGCAGGCTCCCCACCGAGCAGGGAGCCCGATGTGGGACTCGATCCCAGGACCCTGGGATCATGACCTGAGCCGAAGGCAGCCACTTAACCGACTGAGCCACCCAGGCGCCCCAGGGTTAGCTAATTATTAATGATTATTAATATTATTAATGTTATTTCCTTTCATACTTCTCATCGAGGAGCTCAAACTCCAATCCTGTTCCAATACAAGATTCCTGAAGACTCACCACAAAATGTTGACATCCTATAGCTTTGGTATTTCGCCCCCCTGAGCACTGCCTACTCTCATCTCTCTCCCTTTCATTGTTGCTATTAACTAGTACATTTGTTTCCCTGCTCACTCATCTATTTCTACGATGTTGAATTATTACTTCTATTGTATGTTTTTATGAATCCTCCTTTCCCTGGGCTCAGAGTGACTTGCATATTCATTTAGTGATTTATGAAACCCCTTCTTCCAATCAAGCCCTGTGTGGAAATAACAAAGAAATTGTGTCATGACTGCGGCCCTCCCATCTTTGCTGCCTGATAGAGAGAGACGAAGTCAGGCATGACCTCCCCAATGAAGGACAAGAAAGCATGGCATTGTGAGAACTCCACACAGAGTGCAGGAGACCATAGATACATAAGTGCCTACCACACAGAAGGGGCTCAGGAAACATTTAAATAATGTTCAATGGCCAATTTCATCTTGGACTCAGGCATCACGGATAAGATTATGCATCCTGAAAAAATGAGGAGCTATTTTCTAGAAGGACTAAAGGATGTTGGGGGCTTGAAGGGTAAGACAGGAAATGGCATTTTAGACAGAAGGAAAGGCATAAATAGAGCTGGGACGCAGAAATTATAGAGTTCACTGACTATGAAAGTCTGACGGTTTCCAAACCTGTCAAGAAAAAGTGAGAAATTCCATCTCAATTTATCCTATAGAAAACTGAAGAGGAGGGACTGGCCCATCCTACTCTGCCAATTTCAGCGATGGGCACTGTTTTGCCTTTGGATTGTTTTTTGTTTTTTTTTTTTTAAGATTTTATTTATTTATTTGAGAGAGAGAATGAGATAGAGCATGAGATGGGAGGATCAGAGGGAGAAGCAGACTCCCTGCTGAGCAGGGACCCCACCCCCCGATGCGGGACTCGATCCCAGGACTCCAGGATCATGACCTGAGCCGAAGGCAGTCGCTCAACCAACTGAGCCACCCAGGCGCCCTGCCTTTGGATTGTTAAGTAGCCATAACACAAGTAAAGATAACCCCAGTTATTTTGTTTTCAAATTTTTTAAGATTTATTTCAAATTTTGTTCACATTTTAGCAGAAAGTCATATTTTCTCTTCAATATGTGATTTTAAAATTATATTGAAAATCCCGCAGAGGGTTTTTTTTCTTTTATGGTCAAGAAATCATCTTCACTTTAATAACGAAAATATAAAATGAATAGGAAAATCAGTAAATTCATAAGCAGCTTCTAAGAACCTGCCCTTACCCTAACCTGAGCTTCACCTGGGCTAACCTTCTTATTTCTTTTCCTTGTCATGGGAACATATGTATCAGTGGACACAAAAATGTATCAGTGGAGAAAAAAAAAGACAGTCAACCATAAAAAAGTGATAATAATAATTAATTTAGCCTTTTGAGGAAGAGAAATATAAAATGTTTGATTCTTCTAATTTTAAAGTTAAGAATATAAAGTAAACATCCATTCAACATGCTTTTAAATGGACATATTTTCGCTTATGTTTCAATTCCATAATGGGGACAGTTGAAGAGGACAGATTAACAGAGATGGAGTGTAGAGAAATAACTCCAAAGAGAGAAGAAGAAACAAAAAAACCCACCAAATAATAGTAATAACAAAAATAGATAAGGGGAACAGAAATAAAGTCAGGGGAGAGACACAAAAGAAGGAAACTATAAAGACTCTAAAGTGAATGTTGGAATAAGAAGTATCAAGCTTTTCCAAGCCTCTGGTTTGTTCGATTTGTGGTTCATTCCATTTGTGTTCTACAGGCAGGAACTGGCTTCTTAGCATTTAAAACAATCTTTTCTGCCTAGAATGTATGTTTAGAATCTTATGAGAACTAGAAACACCTTTCAGAATTTTGCCAATGAGGAGAGCAGCCTGGAAGGAGGAGTGATGGCCCCAAGAGGACTTGGCTTCAGAGCTGGGACTATGATCCTGTTATTCCCTTTTCCCTGGAACCCCTACCCCTCACAGTGCTCTTTCTATAGCACCATCTCTTACCTGCTTGTATTTTAAAACTTCATTATTTATTTCTTATCTTTTCTTTTCTTTTAAAGATTTATTCATTTATTATTTGAAAGAGAGGGGGAGGGAAAAAGGGTGAATAGGGGGAGGAACAGAGAGAGAGAGACAAGCAGACTCCCCACTGAGCATGGAGCCCTACTCATAAGATCATGACCTGAGCAGAAATCATGAATCAGGCACTTAACCCACTGAGCCACCCAGGAATTCCTATTTCTTTTTTTTTTTTAATTTTTTATTGTTATGTTAATCACCATACTTTTTACATCATTAGTTTTTTTTTTTTTAAGATTTTATTTATTTATTTGAGACAGAGAGAATGAGAGAGAGAGAGAGCACATGAGAGGGGGGAGGGTCAGAGGGAGAAGCAGGCTCCCCGCTGAGCAGGGAGCCCGATGCGGGACTCGATCCAGGGACTCCAGGATCATGACCTGAGCCAAAGGCAGTCGCTCAACCAACTGAGCCACCCAGGCGCCCTACATCATTAGTTTTTGATGTAGTGTTCCATGATTCATTGTTTGTGCATAACACCCCGTGCTCCATGCAGAACGTGCCCTCCTTAATACCCATCACCAGGCTAACCCATCCTCCCACCCCCGTCCCCTCTAGAACCCTCAGTTTGTTTTTCAGAGTCCATCGTCTCTCATGGTTCATCTCCCCCTCCGATTTCACCCTCTTCATTCTTCCCCTCCTGCTATCTTCTTCTTTTTTTTTTTCTTAACATATATTGCATTATTTGTTTCAGAGGTACAGATCTGTGATTCAACAGTCTTGCACAATTCATAGCGCTCACCATAGCACTCCCCATACCCTCCCCAATGTCTATCACCCAGCCACCCCATCCCTCCCACTCCCCTCCCCACTCCAGCAACCCTCAGTTTGTTTCCTGAGATTAAGAATTCCTCATATCAGGGGCGCCTGGGTGGCTCAGTTGGTTAAGCGACTGCCTTCGGCTCAGGTCATGATCCTGGAGTCCCTGGATTGAGTCCCGCATCGGGCTCCCTGCTCGGCAGGGAGTCTGCTTCTCCCTCTGACCCTCCCCCCTCTCATGTGCTCTCTCTCATTCTCTCTCTCTCAAATAAATAAAATCTTTAAAAAAAAAAAAAAAAGAATTCCTCATATCAGGAAACAAACTGAGGGTTGCTGGAGTGGGGGGTGGGGTGGGAGGGATGGGGTGACTGGGTGATAGACACTGGGGAGGGTATGTGCTCTGGTAAGCGCTGTGAATTGTGCAAGACTGTTGAATCTCAGATCTGTACCTCTGAAACAAATAATGCAATATATTTTAAGAAAAAAAAAAAGAAGATAGCAGGAGGGGAAGAATGAAGGGGGGGAAATCGGAGGGGTAGACGAACCATGAGAGACGATGGACTCTGAAAAACAAACTGAGGGTTCTGGGGGGGGGGCGGAGGATGGGTTAGCCTGGTGATGGGTATTGAGGAGGGCACATTCTGCATGGAGCACGGGGTGTTATGCACAAACAATGAATCATGGAACACTACATCTAAAACTAATGATGTAATGTATGGGGATAATATAAGAATTAAAAAAATTTAAAAAAAAAGAAAAAGAATTCCTCATATCAGTGAGGTCATATGATACATGTCTTTCTCTGATTGACTTATTTCGGTTAGCATAACACCCTCCAGTTCCATCCACGTCATTGCAAATGGGAAGATCTCATTTCTTATTTTTTAAATAAAGCTTTATTTCCCAGTGGAATGATTCATGGCACAGCTGTGAAGTTGTAACTAATGTTTTCAAAGCTGGTGGAATGGATTGCTGGCTAGAACCAGACGTCCCTTTAACATTCAAATAAGGCCTTATTTTTTGTTTCCTTATGGGATTAAGATGTCCTTAGTCCACCTCCTTTGAATACATTATTCTCCCATCACACACAATTTTTATGAAAGCAAATGCAATATTGTGGCCCAACCCAGATGATAGCTGTAGGAAGGACACAAAGAAAATGCTTTCAAGGCAAGAGAAGGGAGGGAGAGCATGGAGATGTATCACAAATCTGCTACATACCAGATACTGTTTATTCATATCTTTCAATCCTCCTCCTCCCCTATGAGATGGACACAATGAAAACCAGTTAAAGATAAGGAAATGGAGGCTGAGGGAAGCCCTAGAGCTTGTCCAAGGCCACACAGCTGGTACACGTGGAAGGCAGGATTTGAACTCAGTTCTAAATATGTGGTTTTCTGCCACCTGTTTTTTCCCAGCT